TGCAGGCTGCTGTCCTGCAGCGTGAGCCGCAGGGCTGTTTGATTTACAGGGTGAAGAGTGCAAGCAACACCTCTTGCGACTGATTTGCTCTAGCAAATGGCTATTTATATTAAAGGAGGGAAGGGATTATTAGGAGCGATCTCAAAGCAATGACAAAGATACGACAAGGGAGTTCGCGCGTCGCCTCCAAATTGCAAGTGTGGGCTCTTGATGGATCCCATGCATGGTCAGGAGCTGTTTAGTTTTTCTCCTTTGAGTGCTCAGATTGGGGATAACGATGGGCGCTGTGCTCAGGAGGCAGAGATAATGAGCACAGCCCTCTGATTCGATTCAGGTGACCGTGCAGCCGGCTCAGGTATGCCACAGCGTAATTAGTGAGGTGCTGAATCAGGGAGTTGGCAGGAATGGGGATAACCTTGTCCCTGCCCTCAGCTGGGCTATGCCTCAAGGGGGGATCCTGCGGGACCCGGGGTGTGATGGGGACATCTCTGCGACCAGGGGGTGGTTGGCTCCGGTTTAATCCACAGTGGAAAGCTGGGAGCTTGCTGCTGGAAAACGTATTGATTTCAGGGGTGAGAAAAATTGGTCCTGAAGGATGAAGAGGTTTTTTTTGCTGAGTTAGGACATGGGTTTGCAGAAGCATTGGAATGGGCTGCCCAGGGAAGGGGTTGAGTCCCCATCCCTGGGGGTATTTAAAAGCCAGGCAGACAAGGTGCTTAGGGCCAGGGTTTAGTGGTGGGATGGCAGGGTTAGGGGAATGGTTGGGCTTGATCATCTTAAAGGGCTTTTCCAGCCTCAACGGTTCTGTGGTTTTGTGATTCTGTGACTTGGGCTGAGCCAGTGCTGGGGCTGACCTGGGAGTATCCAGCCAGGCTGGTGGTAGAACTGGGTGGTGGTGTTGGTAGGGCTGGACAGGACCAGCACCAGACTGGGTGCTGGAGCTGGGCCAGGACCCCCCCATCCTGCCTCCTAGCTCTGCCCCCCAGGGAAGGAGCAGCAGGAAGGCGGTGCAGGCTCTGAAGCAGGGACACACTTGAGCCCTCAGGCTCCCCCGCAGGGGGGGCCTGGCTCCACCCGGAGCTGGAGAAGACAGGGGGTAGCCTGGACCTCCTACAGACCACCTAGGTGGCCGGGTTTCTCCTCTTACCAGCACATCACCAGCATGTAACCCCAAGGGACGATGCCACGCGCTTGCGATAGCAAGAGAGCATCACCACCGGCTTCTGCAGGGCAGAACCGTCCCTTGTTACCCCAGGGTGAGCAGGACCAGCGCTGTACAAGCGCAACAAAGCAGAGGCTGCCTGCCGTGAACGCGGTGGTCGGACGGATGGGGAGATGCCCTCCAAAGCTGGAGGGGAGCTGGCGAGGGAGGCAAGGTTCCACAGCCAGGACCAGCAGCCAGCGGCTGCCGTCCCTGAGCAGGCAGAGACCCTTGCAGGCAGCGTTTGCCTACCGTCCAGCCCAAGCAGAGGAGCCAGCAGCACAATAGCTCTGCCTCCGCCGTTGCAGAGGGGAGCCAATGAATAAGGGAGGCAGAGAGCAATGCGCTCGATATGCTGCATGGGAGGGACGGGCGGGGGGGACGGGGGAGGCGGCAGACAAAGAACAGGGAGATGGAGAGAAAAAATGCAGGAAGGGAGCAGGAGAAGCAAGGAGGACAGGGCTGGGCACACAGGGCTGGGGGGGGGCAGTGCAGGGGGCACAGGCACAGAGCCCCGCGCCAGTGCAGCAGGAAGCAGCCAGGAAGCCAGTGGAGGAATGGGCGGCCAGCCCCTCGCAAGGCCCTGCGGGATTGGCGAGCAAGGCCCGGCAAAATGAAAATCTCTTAACCACACAGAATTGTTAACTGCCCCCAAATCCTTTTGTGCTGGGGCTGCAAGCTTAGAAGAGCTTAAGCTGTTAGATGCATGAACTTCCTCCATAAATATCCCCCGTGCACTGCCGTGCGCAGGCCTGCGCTGCACCAGCCAGATGAAAAGCCCAGCGGAGAAAACGAGCAACCCCTTCCAGTGCCTTGCAGCTGCCCCGAGGGCCGTCCATTGCTCGGGATGCCCTTTTCCACCCAGAGCTCTTGGCAGGGCAGGACCAGTAAGCCACATCCCCCACGCTCCCCGTCACATCCCGTTTGGGCGACCGAGCCCCGTGAGAGCACTTCACCCCAAAAGCCAGCTCAGATTTGCTTTTGTTTTGTTTCTGGAAAGGGGCCCAGATTCCCTCCAACCCCTCAGAACATGAGCAAACCTGCCGGCCACATGTACAAGTGAGCCCCCCAAACCAGGTAGCTCGTGTGCTGCCTCTGAGGGGACTGCGGGCCGGGACACAACAGGAGGTGGGCAGGGACGCAGCACTGCATCCCGCAGCTCCTTCCCGAGTTGAACTGGGGAGCAGAGCCCTACCTCTGCCCGACCAAGCCGGGGTGACCAGCCCCTTCCCAGTCCTCTGCGGGGCTGCCTGGGGCTGCAGGGAGAGGATGCTACGGCTGTCCTGCCCGGCTCCACAGCTGGCTCCCCTCCTGGTCCCCACACTTCTTCTGGGGGCTGCTGGGGGACAACAGAGGGTGTCCCCCAGTCTGGCACAGCCCTGGGGTCCCATCCAGCTCTGATCACGCAGCCCCACGTGGCAAGAGGAAAGGGAAGGGGAAGGAGAAGGAGAAGGAGAAGGAGAAGGGGAAGGGGAAGGAGAAGGGGAAGGAGAAGGGGAAGGGGGAAGGAGAAGTGGAAGGGGAAAGAAGGAGAAGGCAGCCCTGGAGCCAGCTGCCCCACGGAGACGGCAGGCTGCCGGCCACAGGGTGATTAATGACGGTGGGGAGCACGGGGCGCCCGCCAGCACCGGCTGGAGAAACAGCTGCCGAGGAACCGGGCCTCCCAAAATCCTGCTGCTGCGCAGACAAAGAGGAGACTCGGTCTCTGCCTCCTGCTCGCTCCCTCCACCTTGGCCCCCCGCTCCTGCTCTGCCTCCCCGCCCAGCCCCGCCAGCCAGGCTGCAGGAACTGGGCTCGGCATAAGGAGGTCCCGGGAGCCCTGAGGCATGCAAAGGGACCGTCCCTTGGCTGGGCTGGTGGCCGGACCAGGATGCCCCAAGAAACTGTAGCTTCATCAGAGCAAAGCACTGGGCAGGGCTGGGTTGGCTCCAGCAAAACAAAAAAAAAAGGCGGAGAGGGAAAAGTGGACATGATCATTTTG